CACACCAGAAGAGGGCACCCGATCTCATAATGGATGGTTGGAAGCTACCATGTGGTTGCTGGGAATTGAACTCAGGACCTCTGAAAGAGCAGCCGGTGCTCTTAACCTCTGAGCCATCTCTCCAGCCCCAGAGTATGGCTTTTCTATCCCTTATTTTTATTTATTTATGTGTATGGGTGTCTTCCCCTAGACCTGGAGTTATATTTGGTTGTAAGCCACCATATGAGTGCTGGAAATCAAGCCAGGGTCTGCAAGAGCAACAAGTGCTCTTAACCACTGAGCCATCTCTCTAACCCATGTCTACCTCCTTTAAAGAACCCTGGGTCCATTTGTAAATGGATAATCTTGTTAACTTCTAAGACTTGAGAACTAAAAGTACAGATATAATATAAAAACACATTTCTTTAACTATTGGAGTCTGTTGAGGTGTAAGGGATTTTTTTTTTCCAGGACTGAAATTAAGATAGCCTGCTACACTGTGATGTTTCTGAAGGTTTACCATGAAAGTTGTGTGAACTTGGAGGAGCCCATTCTGTGCTTGAGGCAGCATATAATTTCTTATACCCTACTTTAAGCTTCTAATTAGCAAGCTTGAATGCTTGGTTAAACTAAACAGCCGAGTAGGAGAGAAGATTCCTCCAGTATAGGTCATACAAGAAAAGGAACAACAAAATTGAATGTCATGAATGAGGTTTTAATTCCAACTAGGGAAATTTTCCTTTAGAAGAAGCTTTATCCTTAAGATGAATTTATATAAAAATGGAGAAGTAAATTATAGTGCATGATATATAAAAAGCCAAGCATACATGACTAAGATGAAAAGGTGGCTAGTGATGGCTAGAAGAAGAGCTAGAATGCCCTGGAGAAAGCTGAAGAACCAAAACCAAAGAGGGTCACTGTCCTGAGCCCACCACCGGTGTGCGGTGCTGTCAAGACTGCACCGCACAGATCGAGAGGCCACCATCTGCCTGCAGAGGGTTATAGAGAATATGGCATTTGAGCTGGGTTGGGTTTTGTTGTTTTGAGACAGGGTTTATGTGTGTAGCCCTAGCTGTCCTGAAACTCGCCATATAGACCAGGCTGGCCTCCAACTCAGATCTGCCTGCCTCTGCCTCCTGAGTGCTAGAATTAAAGGCCTGCTCCACCATGCCTGGCTTGAACTAGTTATTAAATGGCTATTTACCAGAAAGAAGAGAGGAAAAGACATTGCTGGGCAGAAAGAAAAGAGTAGACAAAGGCAATATATGACATAGCTTTCAGTACAAAGTTATTATTGCAGTTTTAGAATGATGAGCTATACTTGAAGTCAGTCAGCAGGCTCCTCTACCTCCATTAGAAGAACAGAAGCTGAGGTTTGGAGATGTTTAAGTTCATCCATGTCATGCAGTATGAATCAGCACAGAGTAAGTGCTCTAAAACAAGAATTCCAAGTCTTGTGCCCTGAGTAACTCTGTGTCATAGTGATAGACTGCCATAGAGTCATTAGTATTTGGGATTATCTGACTTTCTTGGAACCAAATTCCACTCCTAAAATTGGCTTCCTGTTGTTTGCTGTGCCAGTCTGTGGCCTCTGTATGCCATACTTCATTGTCATTCGTTGAAAATTTGAGTACTGTCTGCTCACTGCCTGGTGAAAAGATGCCAAATCTGCCAAAATGAAGAAAAACAGGGGTCATATGAAGTCTGAAACTGCAGGAGATACTTTTTTTTTTTTTTTTTTTTTTTTTTTTGAAAGGGTTTTTTTTTGTGTACCCCTTGTTTTCTCTACTAACCCTTGCTATCCTGGAATTCATTCTGTTGACCAGGCTAGCCTCAAACTCAGAGATCTGCCTGCCTCTGCCTCCCAAGTACTGGGATTGGATTAAAGGAATGAATGCACCATCAGCAGATATTTTTATACCCTGGTCTTAGAGACATGGAATAGGCAGAGAACAAAGCAGCCCATGCCCAGGTTTGACAGTGAAAGGACGAAAAGGAATAAAAAATACTGATTAGAATTATGCCAACTTTTTACATTAAAAAGGAAAGAAAAAGAAATGTTGGGGTTGGAAGATATGGCTCAGTGGTGGAACATGAGCCATACATGAACATGAACATGAACTTACAAAGTTCAGTTCCCAGCACCCTTACACACACATACACACACACATACACACACACACACAGAGAGAGAGAGAGAGAGAGAGAGAGAGAGAGAGAGAGAGAAACAGTATAATAAGCACTTGAACCATGTGAAATAGGAATGAGTTATGAAGTGTTTAAGGCCTCCCCATTATTTCTTTACTTAATTTGTATCTTCAGAACTTGACTTACTATAGTTTAGGGGCCATCTGTACCTTTCCATTGAACACAAAATAGCGAAGACACATTGTTTAGTAGCTGTTTTTCCTGCTAGCTGAGGTAAGTTTGCTCAGAACTCCTGTAGGATATGAATTCTTGTATTCACACAGTGACTTAGTCTCACTTTGTTCTTTCTGAGAGTATTAAGTCTATTATGTCACAGAGATAAATACATTGTCATTTATATCTGCACCATAATTTTTTAATCAACCTGAGGATTTAAATTGCTATAATGAACATCTAACAGATATTAATAAACAAGAAAACTATAGAATAAATTAGGAAAAGCTTGCTAGTGTTACTATAAGTTGTTTGAGGTCTTTGAATATTGGAGAAAAATGTAATATATGGGACAACAAGGTATAGATGGCAGTAAACATGTAGTCGTTGGTGTGTTTGAAAATTGTGTTTGCAGGCTGGTGAGATGGTCAGATCTCAGATGGTTAAAATCTGAGACTGCTCTTCCAGAGGACTTGAGTGCAATTCCCAGCACCCACATCAGGTGGATCACACCTGCCTGCAACTCCCAACTGCAGGGGATCTGACACCTCTGACCTCCGCAGGCACCTGGCTTTGTGTGCACATGCTCACTAATGTACACATAATTAAAAATAAATCCTTTTCTTAAAAGTGTGTTTATTTCAGCGGGGCAGTGGTAACATGCACCTTTAATTCCAACACTCGGGAGGCAGAGGCAGAGATTTGGCCAGCCTCAAACAGTCTACAGAGCAAGTTCCAGTACAGCCAGGACTACAGAGAGAAACTCGTCTCAAAGTACCAAAAACAACAGTAAAAACCTGTGTTGGTTTTCTAAATTACTTTTTAAATTTAACTAATTATTTTTACAGTGCCTGAGATCAAACTCAGGGCCTTGCACATACTAGGCAAATGTTCTGAGCTACGTGCAGCCCTTTCATTTTATTTTAAGCAAATGTCCACTTGTAAGGGAAATCTAAGAATTTCCTTGACATTATTAAGAATTAGAGGCTGGGTGGTGGTAGCTAGCGCACTCCTTTAGTCCCAGCACTTAGGAGGCAGACGCAGGTGAATTTCAGTGGGTTTGAGGTCAGCCTGGTCTACAAAAGTGAATTCCAGGCCAGCCAGGACTATTAAATAGAAAGACTAATAGTTTTAAATAAATTGGATTATTTGTGAGGAACTAATTCTTAACCAATAAACAGGAATTGCAAGAATGGTTGATGCTAGCACTGACAAATTTTAAAGAGTATATCTTCAACTGTATGAGCAGAGAGAAAGGAAGACGGGACTATGCTGTGTTGGTAAAAGATTAATAGTCTTAAGGTTTTGGAAGCTGTCAAGAAAGAAGACATTCAGGAGTTGGAGAGCTGGCTCAGTGGTTGGTTAGGAGCATAGTCTCCTCTTGCAGAGGACCCAGGTTCATTTTCCAGCACCAACATGGCAACCTGTAACTGTCCGTTAACTCCAGTTCAGGGATATCAGGTATGCACGTGGTACACATGCATACATGCAGACAAAACACCCATACACATAAAAATAAATCTTAACAAGATAAGAAGAGAGCCGAGCGTTGGTGTCGCACACCTTTAATCCCAGCACTTGGGAGGCAGAGGCAGGCGGATATCTGTGAGTTCGAGGCCAGCCTGGTCTACAGAGTGAGTGCCAGGATAAGCTCCAAAGCTACACAGAGAAACCCTGTCTTGGGGAAAAAAAAAAAAAAAAAAAAAAAAAGATAGGAAGAGGAGGGAGGGGAAAAGAAGAAAAGAAAGACATTAGAAAGTACAGAACTAAATTGGAAAAAGAAGAAAAAAAGACTACTGATGGCTCAGTAGTTAAGACCATGTTTTGCTCTTGCACAGGACCCAAGTTCAGTTCCTGCACCTTTGTTGGGTAGTTCACAACTGCCTGAAATTCCAGCTGCAGAGACTCCAATGACTCTTCTGGTCTCTGGGTACTGCATGCATATACCTACACACAGACGCACAGCATACATGCAATTAAATAAAAATAAATCATAAGCTGTGATTTATAAGGGTAGCTTAGTAGTTAAGAGCACTTGTCTTGCAGGTTCAGTTTCTAGCACCCTCATTGGTAAACCATCTGTAACTTCAGGCACTAGACACACATTTGGTGCACATATATAACATGCAGTCAAACCTTCATACACATAAAATAAAAATGAGCATTCAAGAGGTAGAGATGACTGTTAAGTCTATAGAGAGCTATTTCAAGCTGTGAGCAGGCCAGCTCCCCTATGGATCTTAAATAGAAGCACATGTGTGCTTTAGTTTCTGCTATAGCTCCTTATTTTACAACTGTTCTGTATTTTCATGTAAACAAATCCATGGCTCTCCAAATCTAGCAAACCATTAAAAAGAAATTGTGTGTGCCCTATTATTTATGAAACTGGCTGTGGTAAACTGCTTCTGAAGTAGCTCAAACTGATTGAATAAATGCTAGGAATTCAGGCTGAACATATGCCCTTCTGCTTTCAGGAAGTAATGTATTTTTTTCACAAGAAGGGTAGGTACAGTTAGTCTACGTGGTGTGTGTGTGTCTGTCTGTCTGTGTGATCTTTGCATCATATATGGTGGTACCAAACAGTAGAAGCTCTGATGAATAATCCCTGTTTGTCAGCTCAGTCTTACCTTACTGTTGTCTCTTCTTGTTTCCTTCCCCAGTTATGCTGTTATTGCCTATGGCTGTGCCAGCTGCCCAAAGCTAACCTGTGAGAGGGAAGGCTGCCAGACTGAGTTCTGCTACCACTGCAAGCAAATATGGCATCCAAACCAGACCTGCGATATGGCCCGTCAGCAGAGGGCTCAGACTTTACGAGTTCGGACCAAGCACACTTCAGGTCTCAGCTATGGGCAAGAATCTGGACCAGGTATAAGTTGGCATTATTTCATTGTCTCCTTATTTGGTATCTATAATGAGTCTGAAACTAAAAGAGATTGTCTTACTATATACTCGTGTATCTTTGAAATCAGAGAACAGAAATATTGGTTCTTCTTCTGAATAGCTGAGACTGCAGACACATTTCCTGGCTTGGTTATATGTTTAATGATACCTCTGCTATGTTGCTTCTTGTTGACCATGATAGGTAATCCTAGCTATGTAAAATTGGAGTACAACAAAATTGAATTTTCAAGTTGATGTCTTAGTATTTGTCTCAGCTTAGAGAGCACTAATTTTTTCCTATGAGGGACAGAGAAACATTTAATTAGTGTTAAGACTGTCCTGCTTGTCATCTAGCTTGAAGTGCATCACAGCTTTTTGAAGTAGGGCACAGATATAAGAAAAGAAAATAAACACTATTTTAGGTTAATGATTAACCCTGAAAGGGGAAATGTTACAGTCACTTTCCACTTTGATTATTAAAAGCAATCTTTAAAATGTCAGCATCTTCTCAATGTACTTTGTCTTAACTGATGGTATCTGGGCAAGATACAAGGAGACAAATTATGCCATTTGCTTTTTCCTGGCACAATATAATCTCTGAATTTGACATTTTAAAAGATTGGTTTAGCCGGGCGTTGGTAGGGCACGCCTGTAATCCCAGCACTCGGGAGGCAGAGGCAGGCGGATCTCTGTGAGTTCGAGGCCAGCCTGGTCTACAGAGCGAGTGCCAGGATAGGCTCCAAAGCTACACAGAGAAACCCTGTCTCAAAAAACCAAAAAAAAAAAAAAAAAAATTTTTTTGTTGTTTTTGTTTTTTTTTTTTTTGAGACAACAAAGGGTTTCTCTGTGTAGCCCTGGCTGCCCTGGAACTCACTCTGTAGACCAGGCTGGCCTCAAACTCCTGCGTCTACTTCCTGAGTGCTGGGATTAAAGGCATGCACCTCCACCGCCTGGCTTGGTTTATGATTTTTAAATTGAAAATGTCATGGAAAGGGATTGTAAACTGTTAACAGCAAAAGGTAGCTTCCTAAGGAACCATTGTCAACTTAAAGCTGACCAGACTGCAGGATTTTCTTGCTATAATGTCCTGATTTTAACCTGTTGGCCACTGACTGGTGGAAATTCCGTTTACCTTGGAACCGTCAGTCTGTTTAGAGGTGAATCCTTACCCAACTGTGACTCTAGTGCTGTGTAATATACCAGTTATTGGAATAGGCAGATTAACATGAAACCAGATTTATTTTATGAAAATTCTGAATCTGGGGTGCAACTCACTTAACGTAAGCACTAAGCCCTGAGATGGATCTCCAGCACCATAGAAGTCAGTCATGGTGGTACATGCCTGTAATCCCAGCATTTGTAAAGGTAAAGGCAGAGGGATCATAATTCAAAATCATCCTCAGCAATTTCAAGCCAGCCTGGATACATGAGACCCTGTCCCAAAAACAAACAAACACAAGAGTTCTGGATATAGCCAGCCTTCTAGTAAAGTGTTGTGCAATTTGGAATCTTCAGGCAGATCTCCTGTCTGCCTTGTCCTCATTTTTTACATACACTCTTAGAAATAATAAAGTCAGGCTAGATTTAACTGGGGGTGTTTTTCTCCATCTTTCCTTCCCTACCTAGTAGATGACATCAAGCCATGCCCACGATGTAGTGCTTACATTATAAAGATGAATGATGGAAGCTGTAATCACATGACCTGTGCAGTGTGTGGCTGTGAATTCTGCTGGCTTTGCATGAAAGAGATCTCTGACTTGCATTACCTCAGGTAAGATGGGACATGTATCAATCCATTGCTTTTGTCATCCTATTCACTTGCTCATTTAGGAAAAAGGATGCCAAAGAGCCATAGTTGATCTCATTTACAGAAAAAGAAAACTGGAAAAAGTTCCTTTAAAGCATGCCTCTGGTGTTTTCTCCAGAAGCCTTGGGTGACTGTCTTCATCACCCTGCTTTCTTACCTGCTGCATGGCTTTTAAGGCTTTCCACAGTCTGGTCTTAGAGTGCCTTTCCAGCCATGCTGTTCAGATAATCTGAGCTTGCTGTTCACTGTGTCTCTTGCCTCCATGTTTGTTCATGTCACCTTATTGGCCACAGTTACTTTCTGATCACTTCATCCTCCCTGCGTCACCCTCTATCTCAGCTTCATCAGTTCTTGATGAGTTTGTTTGGGTTTACTTTTTTATTAAAGTTGTTTCTTTTGCGTGGGGATGTACTTGTGTACACCATACCATACATGTAGAGGTCTGAGGACAACTTGTGAGGGTCAGTTCTTTTCATCCATTCTGTGAATTCCATCAAGCTTTGAAGCAAGAGTCTTTACCCACTGAGCTGTCTTGTGCCCCCCCTCCTTTTCCAAGACAGGGTCTCACTGTGTAGTTCTGTCCCAGAACTCCCTATGCAGACCGGACTCACTGTTTAAAGGTGTGCACTGCACAAAGGTTTAGCCTTGGTTTGGTTTTTGAAATGGGTTGACTGATTTTGTTTTGAACGTGACATCCCACTGCCTCAGCTTCCTCAGTAGACATGTGTCAGTAGACATGTGTAGGTAGGCTTGGTTTTCGGAGTTCTTATCCTGGAAAAGCGACTTCAATGCAACGTCATCTACCAGCCTTTCCATTTCTGCTGCACTCTTCACAGCCTTTCCTTTATCTCTTTGTGCTGTAAGAGTTGCTTTACAACAACACTTTTTGCTGTAAGTGTTGCTGCTACTTGGTAATTTATGGACATGTGTAATGCCATTAACTGTGACCTTTTAATAGTTTCCATGTAGTAAGTTTCTAAAGAATTGAGTGAATATTACATTATTAACCCTAAAGGAACTAACATTTGTGTAGCAAATGTTACCTCACTGTGAGGTAAGACACTTCATTTCCAGTCTGGTGAAAATTGGGAGGCTTATATATAGCAGTCATTGACTAGAGACACGGGACTGAATAAGACAGGATTTCTACTTTTTACATTGTTAGCCTTGTCAAGTAGAGAAGGCAGCACGAAGGGAACGAGGTAGAAGAATCAGACACAGAAGGGCCAAGGGCCAACGTAGCCATACTCAGAGTAACAGACTCACAGGAAGGGCATGATAGGTCACTAAATCTTTCCCCAAGAACCTGGTTTGTATCTGTTAGGTATGATGGGACATGCGCTATGAAATTAGACTGTGTTAGGAGCTGCAGGACACAGCACATTGGGTGCGTGACAGGTACATAAGCCTGCCAGTCAGGGTGATGGTATCAGAGTTGTAAGGAAATGTAGGTAATGTGTCAGGGAAGACACAGCAGAGAAGAAAGAAAAGGAATTTCAATTTTGGAGGTCTACCTTTACCACAAAGCCCAGAACCCTTTGTCCTTTGCTCCCCCTTATCTAATGTGTTTTCTGTTGCCTCCTATCACTTAATCAGTGATTCACTGTTATTGAAAAGATGGGCTGGGCAGTGGTAGTGCACACCTTTAATCCCAGCACTCGGGAGGCAGAGCCAGGCAGATCTCTGTGAGTTCAAGGACAGGCTCCAAAGCTACACAGAAAAGCCCTACCTCGGGGAAAGAAAGAAAGAAACAAAGAGAAAGAAAGAAAGAAAGAAAGAAAGAAAGAAAGAAAGAAAGAAAGAAAGAAAAGAAAAGAAAAGAAAGAAAAGATGGTTGTTCTTATCAAACCCTCTGGTAATAATATCTGTGTTTGTGATACTGACATTAACTTCAGCATGTTTCCTCTATAGTCCCTCTGGCTGTACATTCTGGGGCAAGAAGCCATGGAGCCGGAAGAAGAAGATTCTTTGGCAGTTGGGCACATTGATCGGTGCTCCAGTGGGGATCTCTCTCATTGCTGGTATTGCAATTCCTGCCATGGTCATTGGCATTCCTGTTTACGTTGGGAGGAAGGTAAAACATGCCTTTCTATACCTGCTCCACAGTTGGCTTTGTTGGCAGTAGTTTGAAGGAAAAGGGAAGGAGCTTATGTTTCAGGGCTTCGTGAAAACCAACTCATTTGTAGGTAAAAATAACTTTAATTTCTTAAATGGATTTTTATAAACACCCATGAGATCTGAAAGTTCTTATTAACATTCTGGGCCTGGTTTGTCTCAGTGACTTAAGGTGAAATGCCTAGCTTCATTCCCCTGAGCTACTTTGTCTTTTCTTGGATTAGCTTTTCCTGCATTCATTTATATTTTCCAGGTCTGGGTTAGGTTGAAATTTGAGAAAGATTCCTCTTTGGGTGGAGGGTACGCTTTAATATAACTTGCAAATGAGCATTTGTCCTTTTTTTTTTTTTTTTTTACCCTGGCAAACTACTGATGTCCTAACCTGCTGACCTGGATTCTCTTTTTATTCTTAGATTCACAGTAGATATGAGGGAAGAAAAACCTCCAAACACAAGAGGAATTTGGCCATCACAGGAGGAGTGACTTTATCAGTCATTGCGTCCCCAGTGATTGCTGCTGTTAGCGTTGGTAAGCTAATGGGGCCTACAGCTCCTCTATTAGCTTACTGTGGCACCTCAGCCAGCTGGCCAGGTCCTTTATTGTGGAGACACCTTTCTGTGTGTTCATGTATGTGTATCAGCGCAGGCAAGAGTGCTGATGGAAGCCCAAGGACAACCTCAGGTGCCATCTACCTTATAGGTCTCCTATAGGCCAGGAGCTTGCCTAAATTGGGTAGGCTGGCTGACCAGCAAGCCCCAGGGAGCCACCTGTGCCTCTCTCTCCAGCACCATATTGTAACTATGCACCACCTCTTTTGTCTTTTTTCCATGGGATTGAACTTGTGTCTTCATGCTTGCAAATAAGTACTTTACTAACTGAGTCATCTCCTCAACCTGGAAATTAAATCTTAATAGACACCGTTACAATGGTGATTTTTAGGGCCTAGAGCTTAGTGTAGCACACATGGAAGGGTGCATTAACAAAAATTAAACACCAAATTTTTACTTTTTATCCTTCTACTTATTTGTTACAGGACTCACAAAACAAAATCACTTTTATATTCTATTAATGCCTCATAGTATTTGGGGGGCGGGTATGAGAGTTTATTTTAGAAAAACCTGGTCTGGTGGTGCACCCCTGCAATCCTAGCACTCAGGAGCTCAAAGAGGAAGGCTCAGGAGTTCAAAGCCACCCTCAGTTACACAGCATGTTCAAGACCAAACTGAACTACATGAGACCCTGTCTCAGAAAAACAAAACAAAATTAAAAAAGGAAAAAATCATTTGTAGCTAGCATTTCATGAGTTTCATCACTTGTCAGCAGTGGTTCTGAATGTCTCATATGTGAATCTATTGAGCTTTCACAAGAGCCACAAAGACAACATAATTAAAGATAATTAAAGTGCAGCCTATACAAGTGGAGCCAAGTTGAGTCACTGGGACATGAATCCAGGTAGTCTTTTTATTTGTTTGTTTTAAGATTTATTTGTTTTTAGGTGCATTGGTGCTTAGTCTATGTTGCATGTGTGTCAATAGCCAGGCCATGGTGGTGCATGCTTTTAATCCCAGCACTTGGGAGGCAGAAGCATGTGGATCTCTGAGTCTGAGGCCAGACTGGTCTACAAATTGAGTTCCAGGACAGCCAGGGCTGTCACACAGAGAAACCCTATCTAGAAAAAAAGAGGGGGGAAGGAGAGACATGTATGTCTGTGTGAAGGTGTCAGATCCCCTAGAACTGGAGTTATAGTTATGAGCTGATATGTAGGTGTGGGGAATTGAACCTGGGTCCTCTGGAAGAGCATCCTGTACTCTTAACTGCTAGGCCATCTCTTCAGCCCTAAATTCAGGCAGTTTTACCTTGTAGCATGTAAAAACTGAACTACTCTGCCACAGATAACAGTGTGATTGGAGAATTAGTTTGAGGGATCCTTAACCCCCATTATCACTCATTCATCCAGTGTTGTCTGTGTATGTGCTTGGTGCCCCTGGAGGACAGACAGTGTCATCAGATCCCTGGAACTGGAGTTAGACACTTGTAAACTGCCATGTGGGTGCTGGGAGTCTCTGGAAGAACCAGTGCTCTTAACCATTAAGCCATCTTTCCAACCTTCAGTGTTTGATTCTTGTCTGGTCCTCAGTTTAGCACTTCAGCAATGAAGAGGGTGTTATAAAAGCAACATAACATCTCACATGTTGGATTTTACACGTATATTCTCTTCTCTTTATTCCTGGGAGGGTTCTATGGACAGACCACCAATGAATTGAAGCCAGGACATCCAGACCTCTGTGACTTTTTTTTTTTTTTTTTTGGCTTTTTGAGACAGGGTTTCTCTGTGTAGCTTTGGAGCCTATCCTGGCACTCACTCTGGAGACCAGGCTGGCCTCGAACTCACAGAGATCCGCCTGCCTCTGCCTCCCGAGTGCTGGGATTAAAGGCATGCACCACCAACGCCCAGTGACCTCTGTGACTCTTAAGTCTGCTCTTGTATTATACCAGGCAGCCTCTTGAGATGCCCACTCTATTTGTCTTTTCCCTTTATAGAGTTTTTCTTGTACCCAGCCTGGGAGGGAGAATCAGGGCAATTGATTGGAGCCTACTGACCTGATGACATGTTTCCATCTCTTTCCCCAGGTATTGGTGTCCCCATTATGCTGGCATATGTTTATGGGGTTGTACCCATTTCTCTCTGTCGTGGAGGTGGTTGTGGAGTCAGCACAGCCAATGGAAAGGGGGTGAAAATTGAGTTTGATGAAGATGATGGTCCAATCACAGGTAAAGGAATTTTGTTTCCATTTGAATTTATGGGACAAAAGATAAAAGTCAATAGAATTTAGCACGTTTTTTAAAGAGAAATTATCATTGGATTTCTTTAGATAATGAGCTTTGTGGGGGGTGAAGTATTTTTAGCCTTTCATTTCTTGGTTCCAGAATTATTAGGTTAATTCCTCTGATGGTTGCCTGTGTGTGGTAGGTATGAGGCAGTATGACTTGAATTAACTGAGTTTGCTGGTGGTTTTAGGAAAGCCTTATATCTGTAGCATGCTGTCATTTTCTGAGAACTTTTCATAGTTTTTATCGTGCTAGCTTTTTACAACAGCACTGTGAAGAGGGAGGGCCAGGGCTGTTGTTCCATCTCCGTAGGAACTTTTTTTTTTTTTTTTTTTTTTTTTTTTTTTTTTTTTTTTT